CTATGAAGTATTTCTATTCCTTCTTCTTTTTTTCTAAGGGTGGGTGGGTGGTTTAGTACAAGGGAGGCCCCCACCCGACCCCACCTTGTTTTTTTGGGGGCAAATTAGATCCTACCGATTATGTGCGAGTATGTGTGGTCTAATTGAAAAAAAACAAAAGAAATCTCAATTAGGATATTTTCGACCATAGATTCGATTTTATCGATTTCTATGTGCGTATTCTGACTGAAAAAACCCGAGAGTCTATCAATTTGTATAATTAGTCAATTACGCGCGACCTATTTTTAAAAAACCTGATGAGAGTACTATCTCGTAAGAATTCAATTCTACCAGTTTGTGCGTGTGTGTGTGTGAATTAGTTATAAAAGCTTGACGAATGAACGACTCTTATCGATATGTACAATTTTTTTTTTTCAAAATAGTGTATGTAATTTAATGGTAAATTGTTTGGTTTTTAATAGTTTAGCAATGTATATTTTGTGTGTGAGAGTGAAGGTGAATGTATGTGTGTTGTTCGTGGGTAAGTATGTTTATCTTGGATGCGTGTGTGTGTAATATGTATATGTGATGAGGCTTTTCATTATACGCTTGAAATTTCACTGCTTTTAAGTATCATATTGATGGTCCTTACATGTGAGTGTTACAAGGTGTATTTCAATGTGGGTGTGTACTGATTAAATAGTTAGATAATCATATTTAGCGATGAATTAGTCGTTACCTAGTCATGTATGTATTGTGTAATATGAACTTGACGGCGATATTGCTTACGACTATAGTTGTTTATGAACTACTCATGATTAGCTCAACTCGATAAATTAAATTTGTATTCGGCACAACTCGTTTGATAACTAAGTTAAGCTCGAACTAATTGAAATTTTTTTTAGATAATGGGTCGAGAAACAAGTTCAACTCAATTCGTCAGACTCGGAAGAAAGCTTTAATTAATGTCCATAACTCTTAAGATTGCACGTTGAGGCTCAAGTTTAGTTTTCAGTTTAAAGAAAGAGCCGCATTGCAACTTGTTTTGTTAAAGAACCGAGTGATTTCACTTTGCTTATTTAGAGTTTTACTTACAAACTTTTCTACTTCTATGTTCAAGATTTGTTATAATTTTTACACAAAATATTGTGATATTATTTAACCATTAAGCGAAGCGACCCTTCGTACTTTTTAATAAAAATTCATACTAATGGCATGCAATGTCACATTCTTATTTATATTGTATTTTAAAGTATAATATTTCAATTTAAAAATAGCGGTAGTATTGAAAAATATGTCTTGGAAGAGTCATAGTTGACAATTCTCCTGGCATAGTGCTAATAATGGACTAGATCAAAATGGCTCAATTAAATTTTAGTGCTTCTTTTATTAGTGAAGTTTCTAGAAAAAAAAAATATATCAAACAATGCAACGCACCTTCGGTCGCTATAGAAACAGCTTCCTTGTATAATTACAAGGGTAAGGTCTGCGTACAATTGACCCCCCAGACCCCAACTTGTTGGGAATATACTGGGTATGTTGATGCTGTTGTTGTTGGTAATATTGAAAAATATATGATTATCTATTCGTCATGTTTGTCTAACTTTTTTTTACAGCCAGTCACGGTATCCGGAGTTATGCCCCGACTAATCCGTTGGTCGACCCGGGTCGCACACCTGGCAGTGGTAGGTGAGTTTCCCAACAAGGATTTTTTACATCCACAAGGACTCGAACTCGAGACTTTGCTTAAGCGACATCAAGCTGATTACCACTTGAGTCAACCCATGTTGGTTTGTCTAACTTTAAATAATAAAACTACTAACCATTTCACTCATAAATATTTTTTTTTCCGAAAAAAATTAAATAAATAAAAACACATTCAATTTAATATGCACGTGAGAGACATTAAGATAAAATAATGTAAAGGATGAGAGTTTGCCAATGCCCACACTCTATCTGCCAAATAGTTGATTTCTATTTCTAGATATAGTTGCATCACATCCTCCCATGTGTTATTTAACACACGAAATGATTGATTGGAAATTTTGAAATATAGCTTTTCCAACAATCACTATAGCCATTGGATTATAAATTGCATTATTGTCTCCCCAAAATTAATTTTAGTTTTAGGCTCAACTAGTCGAGCTCAGCTCGACTCATTAATTAAATGAGTCAGTGATTGAGTTCGAGCGCAATTGGTATATGAATCTTAAAATGTAAACTCGAGTTGTAAGGATACTGTCCGGAAATAACAAAAAACACCTAAAACTCCAACATAAATAATGACAAAATTAAAACAACACTAAAACACATCATTTTCACTAAAATAAAACTAACCCTAAATCAGTAAAGTTTTATCTCCCTAAAACCCGCCAACAAGTCGGGATGCGATCGTTATAACCCAAATATCAACTTTCTTGTTTCGTCACTCAATACAATATAAAAAAAAGGTTTAAATATTCTACCTACAATTTTGCTAAAACCATAAGATTCGGTGCAAATTGAAACGAAGAAAGGACAATAACACCAACATTCGAGTTGAAACAAAAAGGAGACATATAAATGAACGAAAAAAGATGAAAAGGGATGAATGATAATATTAAATTTTAAAAAATAAAATAAAAAATATAGAGAGATCGAGATGATTAATTCGTTACATAACGATGATCTCATTATAGATCAAATTAAAAAATTTCCAACAAGTTTTATCATTCATGTTTATCAAATATACTCATATTAATATATAGCTAAAAATACAATCTTACTTGTTATCATACACTCAAATAAATGTCAAAAAAGTTCACTATCTTTAGAGGTATTTCAATTAGGTACAAAAATTGATGCATTTATTTACTCACAATTATGGGAGTGTACACATTAACCCACAAGTCAAAGACAAACTTCTATAGATATATAGGGCAACAATAGATGCCTTTGTACAAAGAACAATTAGTCTAGTGGGTATATATGTTTTAGGGTCTAGTTAACGTCATGCTCACGTCCTTTTAAAATATTTTATTTTATTTTATTTTATTTTTTGGCCCTTTTTTTTTTTCGGTACAAGAGAAGGAGGCTAACGCTAGCTTAAGTTAAAACCGGACGGGGATAAGACACACCCGCCAAATCATGTTGTAGCCAAATACCCGTGCCCGGCGGCGGGCTATCCAATCTAGTCAAGCTCCCCGGACTCTTAGCCGCAAGTGACGCCAGATAGTCTGCCACGAAATTGGCTTCACGATGGATATGACAAAGATGAATGACCCATGGACGACCCAAAAGTTCTCGTATGCTCCTTAAGATGCTCCCATGGGGACCAGTAAGGCTATCGTCTTGAACCATGTTCAGAATAGACTTGTTATCCACTTTGACCCGAATCTTACGCGCGCCGGTGTCCCACGCTAGCTGGAGGCCTTGTAAAAGGCCCCACAACTCTGCTCCGACAATTGGGCAATAACCAATGTTCATCAAGAAGCCAACCACCCATTTCCCCCGGTGATCGCGAATAACACCCCCTGCACTAGCCATCCCCGTAGCCGGAACAAAACTACCATCGGTATTTACCTTAAGCTCATCCTCCGCCGGGCATTCCCATGAGATCCACCTCATATCCCGGATTCCAGACACCCCCACCTTGCGGCAGTTAGCAATGTTGTTCCGCACCGACTCCGCATAGCCTAATACCTCGCCTACCCGTCGTGAAGTTGGAGTAACGATCCCTTGGAAAATCTGTAAATCATAAATACACTCCCAAAGTAATAAATAATGCTAAATTAAAGTAAGAAGTAGGATCCGTGTTACAGTGACCTACGTCAGCATAAATCTTTTGCTTGAAATAAGTAAGTTTTTTTAAAAAAAAAAAAAATCAAATACTTTAAAAAATTATATTCCCTCTTATTTTTATTATTTGTCGTTTTGAAAAACAACACGCTAATTAAGAATTTGTTTTCTTGCCAATATTGATCCTATTTAATGAATGTTATGAGAAACAATGAAGATGAGATATAAAGAGACACAGTACTAGTATTAAATAGAGGGTTAAAAATGGAAAAATATGAACAAAATAATCAAAACGACATTTATTTTATCAATGATCAATTAAACCAGAATGACAATATTAAAAATAGAAGGGAGTATTATTATTATTTAAAATGATACTTATAACTGTTAGGATTTACCCATCAAGATTCGACACATAGAATTACAAAATAGCGATTTTTTTTAATTTTAATTTTGAAATTTTATATATCATATCAAGATTTATATGCATATAAATAAATTTATTACCGGTTCACATATTGATTAGACAAAAAAAATACCGTAGATACCGATTTTTTTTTTTATTTTCATTTTGTAATTTTATATATCATATCAAGATTTATATGCATATATATAAATAAAGTTATAAAATCAGTGTCACAATGTTTATGTTAGTTTTTGGTTTTGATTAGTTTTAGTATAAAACTAATTTGATATTTATTAAAAACAGTAAAATCAAATTAAAAGAATGTGGTATTTAAAACACTGTGTACATGTGTATGTAAATCTATGACAAATCCCCCGATTTTTGCGAGGGCACATTAAAAATTAGTGGATTTTCATCTTTTTTTCACACCTTTCGTTTTCAATTGTGTTTCCTTTTTTTTTTTTTTTCTTTCTCAAAAGAGGGATTAATATTGGTTCCCTAATTCTTTCAGGTGACTCGAACTCGGGACATGATACATGCCAAGCGAAAGTATACGCCACTGCGCTAACCCTTCTTCGTTTTCAATTGTGTTTCCTCAGCCAACCAATCCTTTATTGAACAGTATTGATTTGGCCTGCACTTTTGTTCATATTAATTCAAGCACTTAGATAAACCTTTTGGCTGTTAAATGTAACAATTTTAAGGATAGGTAAGATACATCACTATATATTAGGATCCGTCTGACACTTAAGCTCAGCACGTTTTAATATTTAATATAGGAGGATAATGGGAATATAAGCTCTTTTGAACTGTGTTCACACCATAGTTTGTTAAGTACAGAACCCCACTTTTACTTATTCTTAACATAAGTGAATGTGTTAATGCCACATTTGACTTGAAAATCATTTCTTTCACTAGAAATCATTTGAAAAACTAAGAGGGAGTGTGTTTATAAAAAAAGTAATATTTAGAATCAATTCATACTCAAAATATAACTTAATTTTAATTCAATCTCACTATCTTCAATATTATTAATAATTAAAAATATTAATCAATCATTATTATTAATAGAATATCATTTGTGAGTTGTCTGTATTTTTTTGGGAAAATGAGTCTAGCTTATAAGCCTATTGAGTTATTCCTCTCATAATCAATTTGTTTGTGATGGAACCTCACCAAGATGCACCTAGGTTGACCATATTCGTTTCCCCAAATTCTTTCATGATATCCGAGCAAGCCTGACCTAGGACCTGCGATGAGTATTCTTTGCCCTGCTTGCTTTGTGGGCTTGAGTTTCATGTGAAGGACTCATGAAAGAGCGGACGTATAAGAATATCACTTGTGAGTTGTCTCACATTGCTTTTAAATAGAAAATGAGTCTAGATTATAAAGCCTATTGTGCTACTGCTCGCATCACCAATTAGTTTTGGAATGAAACATTGTGCACCTATGTTCACCCTTTTATGGTGCACTTTTCGTACATGACACCGCATTCGTTTCCCCAACTCACATCAACTTTAATCATTATTCATCCACTCACATAATTCAACTACTTATCAATTTTAGTTAGTCATATATATCCTATTTTTACACCAACACAATTTAAATATTATCATAATATTTCAATAAAAATTAGCTAAACCAATTTTTAAAAATTGACAATAATTAAAAAAACTAATAAAAACCTGGTTTATTTGTATACAAGCGAGCTCTTAGGACTTGAGGTTCGTTTAGATATACTTTCATTTGGGCAAATAATAGAGCCTTAGTGGAAATTTGTATAAAACTAAATTGACATTAGTAATAAATAATAAATAATTGTGATGATGTACCAAAAAAAAAAAATAAATAAATAAATAATTGTGATGTGATTGATATAAAACGACGCAAAATTTTTCAGACGTAATCATCAATTCCTAGTATTCTGAAATCATGTCAATTTTTTTTATTTCTCAATTCATTGTTTGTTTACGACTTAATTATTCATGATGATTTGAAATTCATCGAATTATAATTATAAAAATTATAAAATATTAAAACATAAAATATGGTTCAAAAGTTATCGGTATGTTTATTCGTTATATATATTTTTCTAAATAAAAAATCATATTTTGACAATTTTGTTTATTTAATATCCATACTGTCTATATAATTTTCCTAAAAATGATAATAAAGATGTTATATTTTTATTTGATTTATATTTTCTATTCATATTTTTGTATGTTTTTTATTTGTTAGTAGTTTTTATGAGGGTTGTGTGGGTCTGTGATCAGGTGCCGTTTGGGTGCTGCCATCAAAGTTGGGCCCTCTTGGGCCTGTCATTAATT